AAGTTGTTTTGGAGAGAGAAAGAGATGGAAATGAAACAAACTCATGTATGATAGTCTCAAAAAAATTTAAGGCAAAAACAAGAATAAATGAATATAACTATAAAAATATTATCACAGTGGTTAATACAAATTTAATATAGAAATTCTAAAACCACTGTATTAAATTTTCGCAAAGGTTTAAAAATAATTAGGAGAATTCAGTGGCAGGCCACTTGGGGCACATATGACAGGAGGAATTTCTCCATCTTATGTGACAGTTTCACCCCTCTGTATGAACCAGACCACACATCCCTGAAGTAGCCAGACAGTTAGACAGTTAGGTTTCGACTTGAGGCTGAAAAGCCATGTCCTCCCTTGAAAGCTAAAAGATCCCTGGAGCATTTACAGCTTCTCATATGTTTCCTCTTCCCTGTGATCCTGTATAATTTTCACTTATAATCTTTCTATTTAGACTTACTAGGATATCTACTTCCTAATGAGAAAAGTTCTAACTGGGTAGGAACATATCCTATTCATTATTTTATCTTTTCTTCCCAAGATGGTAAGCAAGCGTCAACTTGCAGTTTGTGATATTTTGTGACTTAAACTAGAAGAAGAAAATGACATCTAAATGTCCATAGAATCAGAATAGTTAAATAATTTACAATAAAACAATCGTTCACAATACTGTAAAAGAAAATAAAATTCTTGAAGAGCATAAATCAGAGTGGTCTCTGAAAATAAATTATATTTCAATAAGAAAAATTACAAAAGACTAATCACAGTCATAGAGTCAAGACATGTTCAGGAACAAATACTTTATAATCTAAAGAACATAGTGGAAAGCATTGAGAAAGGCTTTGCAGCATTGAAATGTAAATCATAACGTTGTTTTATAAAATGGGGCTATTCTCTGAATTAGTGTTAATGAAGAAAGGAACAAACAAATGGTTTCCATGGAAACAGCATTCTCAGCATCATATTTTGCTCTGCACACTTTCTTTCAAATCACCGGACCTAGGATTAATAGCAGTACAATATCAAGTTACTCTAGAGATATCTATTCCAGAACATCCCAAGAAAAGTTCTATAATGACATCTGCTTTACAAGATACTATGCATATTGCCTGGAGTGAGGAAAGAATTAGGTACCATGGATATGTGCTGAAGTAACAATATCAAACTCCCCTGGCCCTGAACATCCTTAACTTTAAGAGATACCATCACCAAGGCCAACATTAGACCAAAAGAGAATTAAGCATCTCCATCTCCATGAAACTAAGGCAGCAACAAACCAAAGGTTGAGCAGGAACTTAAAGAAAACTCATTTCCATGCAGAAAGAGACTTCAAGAAAACTTAATAGCTAAAAGGAGGGACAAGAAAAATCTCTCCAGAAAACCCGATTCACAACCTGCTAGTCACTGGAATTTCTAACCTGAATTCAAAAATCTTTCTTGAAAAGAAATGTACCTTGAGAATAGGACACAAGATAGCTAGCCACTTATAGCACTGGGATATAAATCATATCTCGTTTTTTAAACTTTCAGTGAAAGGAGAGTGGCTGGATGAAGTGAATGCCCTGGCTTCCTGCTGGTAAAGGCCACAAAGGAAGCATTTTTCCAGATTCTGCCATCCACAATCACAATAGTCATGATAAAAGAGGGTTCAGCTATTTTGTTAACTTGATGCTAATTGGAGATGGTTTCATAGGCAAGCAGAATACAAGAATCAATGGAAATTCCATAGAAAAAATTTGTAAGGCCAGGAAACATGTAGCAGGGCTGGATTCTTTGTATACAGCCTGATGTTCTGCTCTGACCTACACGTACACATATATACATACACCTCACAAATATCACACACACACACGCGTACACACATACAATCCTGGTTAGTTCTTTTGTCAACTTGATAAAGCTATAATCATTTTGGAAGAGGGAACATTGTTCAATTTAAAAAACAGTCCAAGTTGGCCCATGGGCAAGCCTGTGGGGGCATTTTCCTGATGGATGTTGATGGCAGGGAGCCCATCCCACTGTGGATAGTACCATCCCTGACCAGGTGGTCCTAGACAGTACAAGAAAACAGGCAGAGCAAATCATAAGAAGCAAGCCTACAGCATTCCTCCCTGACTTCTGCTTCAGTTCCTGCCTCTGGATTCCTGCCCTGCTTAAGTTCCTATCCTGACTTCACTTAGTGATCAGCTGTTACTTGGAAGTATAAGAAGAAACAACACTTTTTCTCCTTAAGTTGCTCTTGGTTATGGTATTTTATCACAAGAATAGAAACCCAAACTATCACACACACAGAGAGAGAGAGACAGACAGAGAGAGAGAGAGAAATAATTTTTTATAAACAAAAAGATTAAGATAAAGCATGTTGGGAGAAACTTAACCGAGGGAGTAAAAGGACTCTACACTGAAACCTTTAAAATTGACAAAGGTATTATGGAGTTGATGGAAGACATGGGGAAGGGAAACTTCCCACATGTATAGATTAGAATCAGTATTATGGATATGGATATTGTACTACAAACTATCTACAAATTCAAAGCAAACCACATCAAAATCCAAAAACCATTCTTTAAATAAATAGGAAAAAGAACGGTGAGAATCTTAAAATTCACATGGAAGCACAAAAGACCTCAGATAGCCAAAGCAGGCCCAAGAAAAACAAATAGAGCTGTGGGTATCACCCTAACTGGTTTCTTTCACTAAAAGAGACATGTAGATAACAGAACATAACAGAAGGCCCAGATAGAAACCACACCGCTATAGACACCTTGCTTTGACAGAGATGCCAAAATAGCATCTTCAACAAGTGATGCACCCAAAATTATCTCCAAATGGATCAAAGTCTTTTACATGAGAACTGAAATTCTGAAATTGCTAAAGGAAAAAATAGGAAAACACTTCAAGGTACTGGCACAGGTAAGACTCTGAATAGCATTCTGGGGTCTCTGGAAATAAAGCCAACAGTTGATAAATGGAACCCTATGGGGGGAAAAAAGCCTTCTGTACATAAAAGGAAACTGTCAGTCATGTCAATGAAGAATCCTACAAAAAGGGAGAAACTTCACCAACTATGCCACTGACAGAAGGTTAGTATCTAGGGTATAGAACACTGGAACCTAAACATTAAGAAAACAAACAATCCAGTTTGAAGAAGGGATGTAGAACTGAACAGAGGAGTCTCAAATGCAAAGAGCTAGTAAATACATTTTAAGTGTTCAGTACTCTTAGCCACCGTGGAAATGCAAATCAACATCCCAGTTAGAATGACTACCAGCAAGAAAACAAATGACAACAAATGCTAAGGAGGATGTGGGAAAGGGGAACACTTACATACTATTGGTGGGAGTATAAATCAGTGTGGCCACTGTGGAAACCAGTGTGGAGAATTCTCAACAAGCTAAACAGGAACTGCCAAGCAGCCTATCTGTAACACTCCTGAGCATATACACAAAGGACTCTAGACACTACTACACAAACATTTGTACATGCATGTTCATTGCTGCTCTGGTGGTGACAGCAAGGAAATTGAGTCACCTTAGATGCTCACCAACTAATAAACAGATAATGAAATTGTGGGACATACAAATAATGGAATTTTACTCAGCTGTAAATAAAAAGTCGTTAATTAGCAGAAAAAATGAATGGGATTGGAAAATATTATACTGAATGAGGAAATTACCCTAGCTCAGAAAGGCAAACGGTTCACGTGTCTTCTCATAGGCGGATCCTAGCTTCTCGTCTTTATGAACATAATCAGAAGGGAAAGGGACTTCAAGTGGGAATAGGATAGGAGAGCACATGTGTGTGACATAAGAGTCGAGGCAGGAGTACTGGGAGAGAATGACACATGCAAGACTGGAGGGACAGGACAGGAAGGCAAACAGGCAGGGCATACTCACAATTAAAGATGTATGAAAAAGCCATAAGAAATATCTACCACTTGGTACATTAATTAAAATTATTAAAAAATTAAAAGCATATGTCCTTCTGAGTTTGGATCACCTCACTTAATATACTCTCCAGACTCATCCATTCTCCACAGTAGTAGTAGAACAACTTACTGAGAATAAGAAAGGGGTTAGTGGAGGTAAGAGGAGGGGTGAGGAAGAGTAACAGGACATAAATGAATACATCATATATAGAATGAAATATCCAAGAATTTTAAAATAAATTATTTTAAACCCTAACTGTTGTCTGATGTAGATATAAAATAGAATACTGTATATGAATTTGCTAACGACTCACATGACATCAACATCACCTGTAAATGAGATAACATCAAAACAGCTCCAATGCCAGAGCATCAGCTACTTCTTCTTGATATAAAATACCACATTGCCCTCTAAATCCACATCTCTGTACCCATCAGTGACCATGGTTGCCTACACAAGACCTACAAAGATCATGCCAGTCACCATTCCAGCCTGCATGGGAGAGGGGTTCATTACCCACCAACCTGGCTGAGGAGCTTCTAATCCCTGATGGCTGATAGTGAAGGAAAACTCAGTTTTCTTTAAGGCTGTAGTCCCTGCTAGGTTGACCATATGCCAGTGAATGGCCCCATGCCCGTGAGTTTATGGAGCATGAGTAGGACTTGGCAGATTGTAATTTTGTTTTAATACATAAAATTGGGGGAGGTGAAGTTGAAACGGATCTGGAAGGAGTTGGGGTGAGGTGGGTGTAGTATGATCAAACATATTAAAGGCATGTGTGAAATTTTTAAAGAATAAAAACATTTTCTAAAATCTCTTTACTGAGATTACCTGTTATCATACCAAAATATTGCAATAAAAACTAAAATATATGTGAAAAGTAGTAATTAGTTATTCTATACATAAAAATTCCAGCTATACATATATTTTTATGTGGGTTAGATTCAAGGTTCATCAACATGAATACACGCTCCTAGACCAGGCATATAAAAGTACCTATTCTTTATTAGTTAAATAGAGTGAAGAAAAGTGGGTGTCATTCGTGGGAGGAGACTCAAGGAGCTTTTTACTTACCTGTGCTGAGAAACCACAGAAGAAGGCAAACCAGAAATGCACAAGGGTGAACGCAAAGTTCTTGTAGAAGAAATAGCATAAGAACTTGCACATTCTGTAATAGGACCACCTTCCATGAACAAGAAGCAGCCGTTGGAGATACCTAAACTGAGCCAAAGCATAGTCGCTGGCTAAGACTGCTTGTAGTCCTTCCTGGCCGCTGATGCCAATGCCAATGTGAGCACCTAGGAGGGAAAAGAGGAACTTTGGTTGCCAAAGAAAATTGCAGTACCTTTAAAGAACATATTCTTCTTTTATGTCAGTCATTTATTGTAATTGTATATCTACAATAATTATTATAGTTTTCCACATCTATCATGAATTAATCACTTAGTTAAGTATCAATCCTAGTTCTGCATAAGAGAAAACTGGACTAGGAAAAGTCGGGAAATTCGCACTTCACACTGGTAAATAACTAAAATAGGATCAACCCAGCTGCTAGGAATGCAGCCCTGGCTACTTTCACCTGCCCTGGCTGGTTTTTCTGTCATCTTAAAACAGTAAAAGCAAGAAATCACGAGTGATTTTACTGGAGAAGTATTTCAGGGAAGCTAATAATTGTAGAAGCACTGGGCCTGGAAAGTATCATTTATGAAAGAACCATGGGAAAGTTAAATTAATGCACACTTCTATGACATATTACTACATGCTTAAGTGGATTCCATGCATGGATTGTACCTCATTGAGGAAATACCCTCTTACTTTTTATCATGCTGACATCATTGGCCCCATCGCCGATGGCCAAGGTTACAGCATTTCTGTGTTTTTTTACCAGCTCTACTACTTGGGCTTTCTGGAGTGGGGTGACTCTGCAGCAAACCACAGCCTTACACATGCAGGCAAGTTCCAAAAGATCGTTCTCGACATCACTTTCCAGAGCATGGGCCTGTATCATCAAAACAAGCAGAAATGAACAGCAATAGAACACATGGCGATTGTCAAAGCAAATGCCTTGGTTCTTAACGGGCTTAATTTCACAGCCATTTCATTACCTTGTTAATTCAGAGTCACAAAAGCAACAGCTTTTTGTGAATATTGAGACACCAGAAAGTTTCAAGGAAATTTAACATAAAATTAAGAGACATGCCCTCAGTGTGCCTCTTTGATGTGTTACCAAGCCATCTTGGCAGAGATATAGCTATAATAGATGTTGGGAAATTTCTAGGAAACACTAAAATCAGTAGAAGCAACAGATAGGACCCACCCACATCTCGGTAGTTTTACGTGAAGTACAAACCATGGTGATTTCTACATTTGGGGCTGCTAGTCTCCTTTGTTTTGTTTTGTACTGTCACTGTTTGTGAATGCCCATGTGCAAGCAAGATGAAAAGGACATGATGGGAGGCTGGCCCTATAAAAGCACTGTGGTTGACTCAAAATCCTGAACAGTAGGGTGACAGGCAACCTGTGCCTCAACCAAGGTTCCCCAACCCTTACTATCCTTGCTCCACATACCGAAAGCCTTTCTGTGCTCTGAGAAACTCCTGAGAAAGAGAGCACAGTTCCCTCCAGCTAACTGGAGGCTACCTTCCTAGGAACACCTCACTTTACACTTCGTAGCAGACACGGTCAAAGCAAACAGGAATCCAGTTTTAAGTAACAGATATTTGAGTAACCCTGAGTGAGTAGTCCTCAGCAAACAGGACTCCTGAAGAGCATCTATCTTAGCTCTCTCTTTCAACAGAGAGAAAGATCACGTAGGTGATTACCACCTGAGAGCCCACACCTGCAAGCTGACTTCCTCAAGCCCAAAGGACAGTCAAAGCATAACCCATTAGGGATCCTGGCCAACTGCACTGGCTGCGCCATTCAGCTCCAGACTCAGCAGACAGACATGACTTTTCAGTTGGTGTTCATCTGTGCAAGGGAAAAGTTCATGTCATCTGGACCAACTTTCTACTGAGCTTGGCCTGCATCTGAGCTCTGTAACTTTCCATGGTGTGGAAGGCAACACATCGCTATGTCTGGGATCCAGCTGGACAAAACTGAGGGCACTGTGAGCTAACAGGCGGATAGTCACAAGGGGAATCTAATATGCTCATATCCAACTTCTTTTGTCCACTGAGAAACCGTCCTCAAGAACAAATGTACATTTTTCCAAACTCCAAAGTGAAAAATGAGCATCAAAGCCAAACAAAGATGTGAGATTAAGTTCTTTGTACATAGAAATGATAATTTCACTAGACTGAAGTCGGGGCTTTTGTACTCTAATTAGAGACTCAGAGAAGCCGTTTGAGTTTCATTCGAGGCTTGGAACCTCAACTGCCTAAAAAGTACAATGCAAAGTTTATTCTATTACGACAAGAACCAGATTTCCTAATCAAATCAAATTGTTTGGCTTTGCTGTAGAATGTTGCTATTTAGAAAAACCACCAGAGGTGTCTTAATGGCAATAATTTGGCATGGTAATTCTATGAAGGTCAGGTTATGACTCGCAAATCACAAACATTAGCAAAGAGCAGGAACTCTTCCACCCAGTTGCATCACTTCAATTAAGTGACACTGAGCTGTGACATCCCTCCATACAAACGCACTTAAACAATTCTGTAAAGTGACTGTTTAGGCAAAATTCATAGATTCCCTGTGAATTGTTTCTTCAGTTCCTCACATCCAGTGTGATCATTCAAACAATGTATGAAATGCACGGTAGAAGTGTTCCCTTTTGTAAACAGGATATCCTGTGCACGCCCTATTTCTTGTAGTGTCATTTGTTTGAAAAACACAAAAGGGGTTCTCATTATGACAGCACAAAAGAGATAATTATTGGGGTAAAGAAAAAGAAAGGACAATAGCCTCAGGCAAACTCACCAAACTGTGGCCGTTTATGACTAAGGCATATTCTCCTGTTCCAGCTTCTTCTACACCCGAGTCCAACTCCAGCTGCTGCTTACTTCCATAAACTACATGTCCATTGGAAAAACTCGTGTTTTGTCCAAACAAATTTTCCTTTGCTTTCCTTAAAGAATAGGAAAATTAAAAAGGCATAACACAGTACTCAGAGCTAATCTATGTAACCGCACCAAAAGACTGCCCTAGAAGTTAATTCACTCCATCACTACTCAGACAGACTAAGGCCCAAGAATTAGGTCCACCAAGCAAACCAATGGACGGACAGCAGTACATGTCAAAAAACTGTGGTGTGGGGGTGTCACACAGGAAACAGACAGCTAAGAATGATGAAAAAAAATCAGCTCAAACATTTTTAACTACCTAAAAGCTAGTTTTAACGATGGGATCTCGATAGCTTTGGTGAATAAAGGATGGAGAGCTACTCTCTGGCATGCAATGATTTTAAATATGCTAAAGACAATGAATGACACCTTGTCATCACAGAGTGTCCCCCTTATCCCTCACCCCCTTTTCTCAATTTTCCTCTCCCCCACTGTGTGTATGTGTGTGTAATGTGAGGTAAATATATGTGAATATAATGTGGTGTGTGTGTGTATAATGTGAGGTAAGTACGTGTGTGCATGTGTGCGTGTGTATGCGTGTGTGCATGCATGCATGTGTGTGTGTATGTGTGTGTGTGTGTGTGTGTCGCGTGCATGATCACCAATTTGGCATACAATGTTATAAGAAACTATAAACATTAAAGCATGAGGATTGGATTGTTGCAAATGGAAATTCTTTGCAATGCTCTAGACCTAATCAGCAATAGACACATGAGAGCCCTGCACACATCTCGCTCATGTTTCCCAGATACGAGAAAATTTATTTGATGACATAGCATCCTTGGAAGTGGCATTTTACTGTTCTTTTCAAAACTGTGAAGGGAAATTGCCTCCCAGAAGACCTGTGGGTGACAAGGTTATAAATAACAGTTCATTGGCATAACCATAGGAGCGTCTGTCATCTGAGTACCAACAGATGTCCCCTGCATGAGGGTGCCCAAGCCAGCCACTGCATGTGAACATACAACTACAGTATAGATGAGTGCCAAACAAAAACAAGAAGTAACAAATAAATTACTACATGTTTTGGCTTATGGCAAAAATGAACTATTTCCCTGAAGCCCCACCCAGTGTGGAAAACATTTATTAAAAAAGATTTATACTGAAGTCCTCTGATAGGATAGAATGAGCATATTAAAACAAACATTTTTCCTTCAGCTTTTGAGTTATTTAAACATGCACTGCTAAAAATTTACATACAAACTACAAAGGAAACCCAGAGGCCCTCATGCCACCTTGTTTCCTGGCTCAACATTGCCTTCTGCTGTCCAGGGCCAAAATCGCACCTTCACTTAAAAGTCCTGTGTAAAGTTAGAGGGAGGGCTGTGTGGGAAATGCACTGTGGGGAAGAAGACAGAGCGGGCTCGAAGGATGACTGTGGCAAACACACGGTTCAGGCTTTCACAGTAGATAAGCAACCCAAGGAATGCTCATCATAGCCATGAAAATTGACAGCCCTATGTGATGAATAGAAGAAATAAAATTGGACCTGAGCATCTCTATGACAGTGCTGCAGATCCCATAAACTGGGTTTTGAAAAAGCCCTGAAGCAAAAAAAAAAAAAAAAAAAAAAAAAAAAAAAAAATCTCCCAGGGTTTCCTGTTTAGTGATGTTCCCATTTGCTGTGTCAATGACTCAACCTGTTTCCCCGTTGGTGGAGAATGAAAACATTCCAAAGGAGGGTGAAGTTCATGCACACACTGGCTGAAATTCTACTTACTTAGGAGTTTTACCCAACAATGTCTTCCTAATATGTGACACAAGCCATTTTCTGGGTAGAAAAAGGGACAACTTTCATGCTCAACTAAAATTCCTAATGCTCCCTCCTCCCAGGCCTTCACTCCCTGCCAGACTGGATGCTCAAACTGTTGGACCTGGGCGGAGGTATTTATTCATAGCTGTTATTTCTTTTACTTCCTGGTACTCAGTTCTCCAAATACAAGCTGGCTCTTGCAAAAGCAATTCATTAAGAGGGAGGGAAGCTGCACATAATACCTTTCAACAAAGATAAACTGTACATCGTGTAGGTAAACATACTGTTTAACCTCAGGATGCAAACAAATACTAAAACAGAAGAATGCCTGTGCCTCCTAGGCTTTGTGATAAGGGGAAGTTTAGTACAATGTTGAAATGTAGAGATACTTTGGGAGTTCAGTTGAATACAACATTCATAGTCCCTACCATCGGAGACACAGTACAGCAGAGTGAGGCCTGTATTCAGGCATGCATTGAACCTACAAAGAAGAAAGGAGGAAGCCACAGGCCATTTGTCAGTCCTTTTCTGGCACCCAATATCCAAGAATTAAAAGGAACTGTTAGGAAATAGGTTAAACATTGTGTTTAAAGAGAAAGAGTGCAGACTTTGGAACGAAGGCCAGTGCTTTGTGCTTGCTTATTTCTTGGGAACTTGGGTCTGCCTCTGACAGATTAGCTATTTGACTTTTGGTCACTTGATTAGTCCATGGCAAGCCCAGGACTTCAAATTCCTAGCTCTTGGTTACCACAATAAATGGCTTTAATCTTATAGTCAGCCACAGGCTCTCTCTAGGATGGAGTAAGATGTAACGACAGAGGGCAATTAGAGACAGCATGACCCTACCCCTACCAACAGTGGAGGAAGGGCAAAAGAATGAAGTTTGTACTGTGAGCTTCAGGATTACCCTCTCTCACTGCTCCAAAGACCTTTGAAGACAGTGATCCGTTATCAGAAATGGGAATTGGCCCAGACAAGGCCATGAACCCCTGAAAACAAGCAATACTTTTGAACCCCTAGGCAACTCTACCAGAATGTGCCAGAATGCAGAATGTAGTGTTCTAGAATTTTACAATTTATGAAAAAGAAACTTGACCTACTAAAACACTTTACCAGGGAGACTAGAACCTGGGAATTGAAACCATGGTGCCTCTTGTTTGGTCTAGATGACATTATGGCCAGAGTTACCTTCTGCTCCATGAAAGGATTCCTGTCTAATATCTTATAAGCAGACTACATCACACAACTAATCTCATCTACCCAGGAGCTATTTGCATTTGCAAAAGGTACTAATGCTTACAATGTCTACTGATTTAAAGAGTCCCTGTGCATCAGGGGGTTGTTCAGAGGCAGTGGAGTCAGAGGAAATGGATGTTTCCAAGAACAAAGCATGTGATCAGTGCTACAGAAATGAAACACTGAATGAGGTTTCTTGTCTGACCCAACAACACTGCATTTGCTGTTTTCTTTGGAGCAGAAGATGCATGCACCATTAACATGCAATCCATGAAATAACCTCAGAAACATTGGCAGGGCTTAACTGTAGATGGGCAGGCACACTGCTAACAATAAAATATCAATGGGAGCAAAATCAATGGGGACTCCACGTGTCCAAAATGGCACTGATAACAGTAAGCAAGCTGGATGCATGCTGTGTAGCTTGAAAATTACAATGTATAATAATAGATGTTATGCTGAAAAAAATCTAAACATACTTGACAGGTTTAACTACAAGCATTTAAGTAATTTCCCTCCAGCAGCTACTATCCCTCGGGTCCTGTGCTTTTGACACACTTTTTTTTTTTTTTTTTGCATGAACCTTCACTGAACTTGAAAATATAACATGAGAATATGGAAGGGCACTAATTTATTATTTTAATATGTCAACCCCAAAGCAATGAACCAAGATTAGGAATATAGTGGAGATTCCCCACACAATAGCTCTCCTTAGGTATCTCTCCCCTCAGTTTCCTTAGGAAGCAAATGTGTAGCTGAGCAACATACCCTCATGGGATGTGAAATGCTACACCTACCTGCAAATCTTTTTCTTTGAGTCTTTTTCTTCTCATTAAAAAAATAAGTGTTTTTAGTTTCTTATCAATTGTAAGACTTTGCACAAATACTACTACTTCTGATAACATAACCAAAAAGACAAAAAAATTAAGCTCGTTGCCTGATTCTATTACTTAGAAAGAACCACACCATATATTTTCCAGGGTTTGATAGGTACTTAGATGTGTAGTAGTGTGTATGTGTATGTGTGCATGTGTGTTTTCAAAATATATCATTCTATGCATATTTTATAATCTCCGTATTTCACTTAGATATGTTTACCCATCTTCCAAAGTCAGTAAAAGCAAAATCATTTTATTGACTATTTGTATTACATTATGTAGGTTTTTAATATTTTTCCAAATGAAGCGACAGAAAATAAATATAATGAACAGATAGATTTTAAGAAATATTAGTTCTCCAAAATCAGCATCTGTGTGCTTCTATGTCCAGTGCCGCCCACCACTCTTGTGCATCCCAGCACTGGGCAGCAGCTGTACAAACTGCATGTTCCACTTTTCATAGGGAGTGCTCAGCAATCCTGGATGAGTAGTGCTCACTCTCCTGACCATACGGCACCTCCTACTGTGTTTTCCAAAGTTATCTTATCATGAACTGTGGGTGCCTCCTAAATACTAATTCCAATACTCAATACCCCAGAGACCTGACGCAAAGAAGGAAGGAAGCTGGGGAACTGGTGTTTTTAAAACGCACCTTCAGTGACATTGTTATTCGTTATCACTTAATATCTTCCAGGTTTTTGCCAACAAACAATTTTAAAAAAAAGCATGCATGACCTGAGATTCTTTCTTAAACACATACGAAATATTGGAGTCCCAAAGACAATGAATGATTCATTGTCAATGTCACCTTTATCCTAGCTTTTGTTACTAACATGAATGAGACTTGAGGAAGTTGCAGGAATCATTGGGGGACTGCGGCACACATCCTCCTGCCTTCCAAATGCCTGGTAGTCCTTCTCCTCCCCACACTTACATTCTCCCTCTCCTTCAGCACATACCTGAGCTCTTCTCGCACTTCCACAGCTGTGTTCCCCGTTATCACAAACACGGCATCCATGGCGTCAGTCAGCACATTGCAGGCATAACCAATATTGATGGCAGTTTCTGGTACAGAAAAATTTTTGAAGCTGTGACTGTGTTACCCAGAGCCTATCAGACCCACTGAGGTTAGCAAACAGACAATGCTTTATACAACACAACTGACTGGGAGAGAGGCCTGAGACCTGAGACCCAGAGCCAGAAACCACCATCACTCAGCCCTTGGAGGACCAGGAACATCTATAAATCCATGGCATCTCATTTGGTTTTCAAAACCACATTTAGATTCTCAAATCCATACTCGTTTAGCTATCCTAAGACCTTAAGGTACAATGAAGAAAAAACATAAAACTTTTTACCACAAACTGCTAATAACTTTGAGTGCCTTATTGGCCAAAAGTGTTTTATTCCTCAACCAATAAGAGAAAATATATACAGAAGGAAATCACCCACCATTTATCTTTTGTATAACTCAAAGAAATCATATAAATAATGATACTTACAATAATTGAATAGGTACTTGCAATAATTGAATAGCTGAGCCTTAGAGACAGGTCAGCTGCACTAAGTCTCATGCAGTAAGGATCCAATGAGTACCTCAGGCTTAAGCTTTCTATTGTTTAATTTTGTAATCACTAGTTTAGGCAGAAAAACAGAGTGATAGGCCTGGTGGCACAGGCCTATAATCCTAGCTATGTGGGAGGCAAAGGTGAGGAGAGTCACAAGTCTAAGGCCAACCTGAGAAATTTAGTGATATCCTGTGATCCTGTCTCAAAAAAGGAAGGATGGACTATGTAGCTGAGTGGAAGAATGTTGCCTAGCATGTATGAGACCCTAAGTTAAATCAATAGCAAAGAGACAGACAGGTAGATAATAGGAATATAGGCGTGTATATGCAGTTATATAAAGAACTGATTTATCTTATCTAAAAGCCCTTGAATGCTCAATAAGGTACCTAACAAAATGTATATAGTCTTACAAATAGGTACATGCTAGTTTATTGAATATTTTCTGTTTCCTGATGATCAAGCATAAAATTTTAAGCTTTCATTGTTAGCAACAGATTAACAACTTACTAATAAAATAACACTCAATTTTGTCCCCATGAGGACCGTTCCCCCTGCCTAGGCCATTCCAGCTCCTTGCCAGCCCCTCTTCTGTGCCCTGCCCCCAACCTCAACCCCAGCAGTCAAATGGTGAGTGACCTGCCCATCAGAAAATCCACTCCCTGGATTTTTATCCCCTGGGACATCTCCAGTGGCCTATGTTACAACTGCTGGGCCCAAGCCCCAACCCCAGCAGATTTCCACCACTCTGGGTCAGACCATATTAGTCAGAACAGGCACAAGCCATACCAGCTTGCTTAGACTCCAGCTGTTCAGGTGCAGGTCACATCAGTCAAAGAAACAGAGTCCCCATGATGCACCAAAGGCCAAGCAAACCACCACAAGGCCAACTCCCAACTTAGACACAGACTCTCAACTAGACCAGAGATCAGTTACACCAGCCACCAAAAGCCCAGGTCACAAAGACTAAAAACCCAAACAAAACATCCATCCAACAAAGACAAACTAAGAAATTAAGGACTAGAACTAATCATCCCAAACCCAGATGACTAAATGCCAGTGTAAAAATACAAACAACAGCAACCAGGATAATATGGCACCACCAGAGACTAGCTACCTTACAACAGTAAGACCTGAATATTCCAATGCAGGCAAAGCATGAGAAAATTACCTTAAAACAACCTTATAAAGATGATAGGGTTCTTAAAAAGGAAAGGAAAACTTCCCTTAAAAAATAAAGGAAAAGACAAACCAAAAAAAGAGAGGAAATTATCAGATCCCTTAGAGAATTCCCAGAAAAAAAAAATGGGTGAAAAAAACTATTCATGACATGAAAATTGAAATAGAAGCAATAAAGAAAACACAAACTGAGGGAATTTGTGAAGTGGAAAGTCTGGGTAAGGGAATAGGAACTACAGATGCAAGCATCACCAATAGAATACAAGAGATGGACGAGAGAATCTCAGGCATTGAAGATACAATAGAAGAAAATGATTCATTGGTCAAAGAAAATATTAGCTCTAAAACCACCTAACACAAAACATCCAGGAAATCTGACACACCATGAAAAGAACAAACCTAAGAATAATAGAAATAGAAAAAGAAGAAGAAACTCAGCACAAAAAACCAGAAAATATATTTAACAAAACCATAGAAGAAAGTTTCCCTATTTTGATAATTGCATGACAATGTAAAATATATAAACAGTTAAAATCGACTTCACCTTTCACCTTCAAATGATTAAAATATTGAGTGTATATTCTATATTTTTGTCACACACACACACACACACACACACACACCACCTCAACATCAAAGATATACATTACCCCAAAGTAAAGGGTTAGAAAAATGTTTTCAAATCAAATGGACATAACAAGCAAGCTGGTGTTTAGCTATCCTAATATCTTACAAGATAGACTTCAAACCAAAATTAAACCAAAGAGATAGAGAAGGACATTTCATACTCCTTAAAGGAAAAAAATCTATCAGGATGAAGTCTCAATTCTGAACATCTATGCCTAAAATGCAAGGACAACTACATATGTAAAAGAAACATTACTAAAGCTTAAATCACATATCAAACCCCACACATTAATAGTGGGAAAATTTAACACCCTACTCTCACTGAAGGGGTTAAACTCTCTCAGTTTTACAACTGAATTTAGGTTTTAGCTCTGGAGAGAAATAGAACCAGTGTCTCTCCCAACAAAGGGCCATTTATCAACAAATTACATTCAGGGCCTAAAGAGAAAACACTAATAAGGCCTGAACCAGCCCCCTGCAATATCTCAAGGTAATGACCAAATAGAGACAGATCCTGTGAATTGTCCAAACATGCCCAAAGATGGAAGAATTGTAACCCTAGCCAGTCCATGTTAGCCCTATCTAATCAGAAATGTACTAATATAACTGCCATTTTCTTAGCCAATCATAGATAGGATAACCTAACTATCCCTAAAATGGCCATTGGTTGCACTTAAAAGGAGCTTGCATGCTCCACTTGGGGTTGTACCAATTTTGTACAGGTGAACAACCCCACATATGCTGGTATAATAAATAAATTCTCTTGTTAATTGCATAAATGGATGCTGGTCTTTTGTGGAACTTCTCTTGGAGCCTAACACTCAGCAATGGACAGATCATCCAGATAGAAACTAAACAGAGAGAGAATGGAACTAAAAGGTGTTATGACTCAAATGAACATAACAGACACCTACAGAATATTTTGCACAAACACAAGAGAATATACCTTCGCACCATCTCATGGAACTGTCCCCAAAATTGACCATATGCTCAGTCACAAAGCAAGTCTCAACAGATATAAGAAAATTGAAATAACCCCCTGTATCTTATCAGGCTTCCATGAATTAAAGCTGGATTTCAACAACAACAGAAACAATAGAAAGTCTATAAATTCATGAAAGTTGAATAACTCTCTACTGAATTACTACTGGGTTGAGGAAGAAATAAGAAAAAAATTAAAGATTTCCTAGAATTAAATGAATAACATGCCCAAACTTATGGTACATGATGAAAGCAGCGCTAAGAGGAAAAATCATATTAGTAAGTGTCTGCATGAAGAAGTTATAGAATTCTCATACTAGAGACCTAACAGGACATCTGAAAGCTATAGAACAAAAAGAAGCAGACACACCCAACAGGAGTAGATGACAGGAAATAATCAAACTCAGAGCTAAAATCAAATAAGACAGAAACAAAGAGAACAATACAAAGAATCAATGAAACTAAGAGTTAGTTCATTAAGAAAATCAACAAGACAGACAAACTCTTATCCACACTAACTAAAAGGCAGAGAGAGAACATGCAATTAAACAAAATTAGAAATGAAAAGGGAGACATAAAAGACACTGAGGAAATCCAAAGAATCATTAGATCATACTTTAAAAACATGTACTTCACAAAAATTGAAAAACTCACCAAAATTAAATCAAGATCAGATAAATAATTTAAATAGATCTATAAACCCCAAGGAAATAGAAGTCATTAAAAGTATCCCAACCAAAAAAAAAAAAAAAAAAAAAAAAAAACCAAAAAAAAACAAAAAAAAAAAAAACAGACTTCTACCAGAATGTCAAAGAAGAGCTAATACTCCTCAAATTATTCCACAAAATAGAAATAGAAGGAACATTGCCAAATTCTTTTTATGAAGCCACAGTCACCCTAATACCCAAACCACATAAAGACTCAACAAAGAAAGAAGATAACAGACCAATTTCCTTCATGAACATAGGTGCAAAAATACTGAATAAAATACTTGCAAATCAAATCCAAGAACATATCAAAAATATCATCCACTATGATTAAGTAGGCTTCATCCCAGAGATGCAGTAATGTTTCAACATTTGAAAATCTGTCAACGTAATCCACCACATAAACAAACTGAAAGAAAAAGCCAACAAGAATATATCACTAGATGCTGAAACATCCTTTGACAAAATCCAACCCCATTTCAGGAGCAATCAGAAATAAAGGGGACATACCTAAAGGTAATAAAGGCAATATACAGCAAGCCAATAGCTATCATGGAATTAAATGGAGAGAAACTGAAAGTAATCCAACTAAAATCAGGGACAAAACAAGGCTGTCCACTTTCTCCATACCTATTCAATATAGTACTTCATTCTTCTAGTTTTAGCTACAGCAATATGACAACAGAAGAAGAGAAAAGGGATACAAATTGGGGGAAAAGAAGTTGAAATATCACTATTGATAGACAATATGATCTACATAAGAAGCCCAAAAATTTCTACCAGGGAATTTCTACAGCTGATAAACATCTTCAGCGAAGTGTCTAGACACAAAATTAACTCAAAGAAAATCATTAGATCTCCTATATACAAACAATAAATGAAAAAGAACCCTGAAAAAGAAACTAGGAACCATCACCCTTGACAATAGCCCCACATAATATAAAATATCTTGGGGTAATTCTAACCAAGCAAATGAAAGACTTGTATCAAGTCTTTAAAAAAACAATTGAAGAAGATCTCCTATGCCCATGGATCAGCAAGATTAACACAGTAAAAATGGCTATTTTACAGAAAGCAATATACAGTAAGATGACCAGGAAAAACTGAGAAATATCTTTTGTTTAGCCTCTCAGGAGATTACTCAACACCCTGAGTTCTTCTAGAAGATCTTCCCCACCGGCATCAGGAAACTAGAGGACAATGTCAGGCCTCCAGTGTCCCCCTTTGGTAGGGACAGAACAATGCTCACATGAAAACCATGTTAAGACAGTTTCTCTGTAAGGGTGGCACCTGTACAGAAACTGCTGTGGAAAGGTGTTTTTTGTTTGTTTTAAATAGCAAGTTTATATTTTTAAAAAAGCTTTCTTTTCACATTTCAACTTTTTCCTATGTAGAAAACCAACAAAATATTGAAGTATATAAAGTTGCTGATTAACATTTTTTTCCAAGGAATTAATTTTCCCCTCTTCAAACATCATTATCACCCAATTCCAAATTACCTTGTTTGTCTCCTGTTAGAATCCAGATCTTAATATTGGCTAGTGATAGATTCGTAACTGTTTCAATAACACCTTCTTGTAACTTATCTTCTACAGCAGTGGCACCTAGTAGCTTCATTGGAGAGTAAAGAATAACATGTTAATACATGCAAAGAACACATGTAACATCCATAGCTTTCAGCCAGAGTTTAAAGAAAGGAATGGAAAATGAAGACAGCTTATAAAATGAGGGTATAAATTAGCACTCTATTGTGTATATAAATCAATCGATTGTGTAGAAACCCAAAAGGAAGTATAGAAGTAATAACAGCGGCCCAGGGAGGTAGAATTTACATAAGAGAGATGGGATATTAAGATAGCATGCTGGCATAAATGGACAGAGGTCACTCCACCTCTAGAGATTTAAGAAGTCCCTAGCTGCTTCTCTACTTTCAGCAGCAAAGGAGAGGTCCAAAGAAGAAGCCCTCACCTCATAGTCAAGAAACTGAGGACACAAAAGGTTGTGTCCCTCCATGACTTAAGAGGTCATTAGGTGATCTAATAGTGAAGATTATTCAGTTTTCACCCCAGTGATGAGACCTGCTTCCTATGACTCCCAGATACCAAACTCCTTGATCACTGGAGTCTTTGAGAAGAGTGACTTCTAAAATAGACCATACTCTGGGTAGTCGTCAGAGTCTCCTGGGCCCAGAGAAGTTCAAAGCTATAGTCCTGCTCTCCATATCAACTGTCTCTATGCTAAAAATGTGGATCACAAAGCAGAGAAAGGAAATGAATATGCTGATAAATGAGTTGTCTACTGTCCTCTAGTTTGGAAGGGTTTCCATTGCATTAGTTATTGGCTGATAAAGCCAGTCCTCTAGAATCCCTGGGGACATACATAGTAAGCTCAAAGCCAGCATATAAATCTAGATTCAGCATTGAAAGAGAACCATCAGCTATCAAAAGATGATTTAACCAATGGCTTAAGCAAAGGGCACCACACTTCCAAACTTATACCATCAAATCTCTTTCAATTTCTTCATACAGCCCAGATATCCGTTCATCCCTCTCAGTGGTGGCAGAATTCGCATCTTCAAGCATCTCCTGCCACACTTTAAAATACTTGTCATCAAGCTCTCTATAAGCAATTGCCAGGGTTCGAAGGCCTTCGCCTGCAAATTCCTGTAAGAAAAGATGTGATCTTAGGAGCAGGTAAATAAATATAACAAAAGTCCCCACAACATAGGGAGGGGTTCACTCACATCCATTTGGTCACAAGAGCACTGTATCGCCATTCTGACTGTAACTCCTTATCTCCTCAGGCACAGGAAAGAATAGTTATGTTTTATGTTCAAGTCTATGAGGTTTGGCCTATGGGGACACTAGCTTTCCCCTAAAAAAAAACTCTGAAAATGCCTGCTGGAGTGATATAATCTGGAGGAAAGGAATGGTGTAGAAGATCTGTTGGAAACAACTGCATCGGTGTCCAACCTTCTTTGCCTATAGGAAGCATGCCTGTCCATAAGTCAGAGCCCTAACTCCCAGTGATGAGGAGAGGCCCTTACAGTTTCCAGGCAAAGAGAGGAAGCCCTTTATGGACTGTATCGGGTTCTCTCCATAAGATTTCCCCACCTCAACTCCAGTCAAGCATCCTTGACAAAAATTCAATGAGTCCTACTTTTGTATCTACTTGAAAAATTTCCATAATAGAAACTAGAAGCAATAACTGATAAATAAGTAGATGATAATAGTTGAGTAAGAGAAGTCTGGTATGCTACTTATGGTTATGATAATAACCTTTGGAGGAAAAGGAAGAGAAAGGAATGAAAGATACTACACATGTAAACTTTGAGGGCTATCTTGGGTCTTTCATTCTAGACTCTTCTATGAAATGTTTTCCTTCTTTACTACATTAAATTTTCATGTTTAATAATAAAACTTCTTTGAAATCTTGAAGATACCATCATCAAGTCATACCAGCTCAAACATTATTTGTTAGAAATTATATTCATGGAGTGAATTTTAATGAGTAATCACATATTGAGAAGTCATATTTTTCCTCAGTTTCTGATAATTGTCCACCTGACACAGCCTAGAGTCATCTAAAAGGAAAGACTTAGGTGAGGAATTTCCCAGATCAGATTGGCCTTTGGATATGTCTATGGGGAGTTGTCTTGATTAACTGCTGCAGGAAGGCCCAGTGCACTATGGGCAGCACCATCCCCAGACAGGTAGTTCTGGACTATATAAAAAAAATTAGTAAACAAGAGCTTGTGAGTGAGTGAGTGAGTGAATGAGCGAACCAAAGAATGATCCAGCAAGCAGTGTTCCTTCATGATTTCTGGTTAATGTTCTTGCCTTGAATTCATACCTTGTCATCTCCAACAATGGACCCAGACATATACGCCAAATAAACTAGCACATTTGGTAAACTGTCAATCATATGATTCTTCCGGTAATTTATTCCTCTAACAAGGGTGGAGGGTCAGAGATTGGTGGCTGCTATGTGTTTCACACAGACACATTAGCTAGAAACTTAAGTAGATTGAGTTTGGGGGCAATGTCGAAAACCTCACACGTCACTTCTGCTTCCAGTGGTCATTTTATGGGCCCCCAAACTGTGAGCAAAGCATTTTAATAGCCATTTCTGCTCCTCTGGGCATTGCTGGTCACCAGGCATGTTTGCCTATCATTTTGCTGTATAGTGAAAATAGAGTATTGTGTTCAGACATGTACTAAATCATGATGCACCCTAAGGAGTAAAAAGTAAAGTTGGTGCATGGTGCAAAGATGTGCTTTATCCCAGAAAGACCACAAGGAACATTAACTGAATTCATCACCCAGGCAGTTGGTAGTATTTGGGACATTTCATGCACATTTACAAGCCCTATCTCCCAAGAAGATCACCACATCCCCTTCTGATCTGAAAATCTAGTTACAACCTTAAAACCATCCATTGTCTTCTCAATTCACATAGACGCGTCTTTGCCTTTAACTCTCAACCCCACTGGGCATTGCCATTGCCCCCCTCTCTGTTCCACACAACCATGAATCAACTCTAAGAGGACACTAGAAAAGGGAGCAGATGCCTTAAGTCATCTAATTAGTTATGAAACACACATTTACTACGAAATGGTCATTTGAGCAAGGCCTTTTCCTATCGTTAAACTATCCAAAATCAATGACTAAATACAAATTTAAAAGCATACAATGTAGAAACCAAAATGATGAACATGTGTGAAGGAAAGGGCAGGTCCAATTTATCTGCCTTAAAAACAATTTGACTGCAAAGAAAATGAAAAGACAAAAACTTTTAATATGAAAGGAAAATGTCTAGAGCCTTGGTATTTGGGCAATGACAAAAATCATATAGTTACTACTCCAATATTGTTTTAATTAAGAAAACTAAAAGACCATGTCAGTCTCTGGAAAACATTAAGGGGAAAATCAAGAATCCTCTATTTAAAAAGGGAAAATAGCTATGTTTGTAACAATTATTACTAAACCATCACTTTAAACTTAAAGTTAGTCAGAATATTTATATTTTATGTTTTTTATAAGAATTGAGGGGGTGTTTTATAATAAAACAACATCTGACACTGACAAATCTTCAGTAATTTTAGTGGAGGAATAAAAACTGATAAAATGAATATTGTGAACCATTTCCTGCAAAGTTCACAGGTCTCAACCAGAACCTCAAACAAATTATTAGCATGAAAGGTGGACAACAGGTTTATGTCCACAGTGACCCTATTATTTCATAGACCCTTACCATTGAGAGGGGAAACGTACAATGATCATCTCTATACCCTTCAGAAAGTATCTGAAAAAAATATCACACTAGCCATAGAGTGTGTGGGTCGACACCAGTAACACATAAGGGACTCACAATTTGTAGCAGGAGTGAAAGAAGCCTCACAGGACAAAGCTGGTTATCTCCAGAGATTTTCTTTCACTCACCATCTAAACACAGCCAGAAAGTAGTGGACCTAACTGACCCTAGCTGATGAAACTGTGGCTCTCCCAGCCGTCCTGTGCTAATCCACCTGTGCTGAAACTCAGTGGTAGCTGGTTCCCAGATGCTCCCTGGCACTACAGCCCTCTGTGGGATGGCTCCCAGCTGCTCTATCTTAGAAGTCAGCTCATTTGCTGATGTTCATTAACAGGTATCATAGGCGATGGCAAAGGATGCCTGTGCTGACCTTACTCGGGGCACTTACACTGAGATGATCTGACGTCAAAGACAGCAGGTCTTTGTTGGAAGGATGGAGTTTCTCAAACAAAATTGTGTCTGCTCCTTTGGAATAAAGTTTTATCTGTCCTTCTGGGTTTCGAACTGGGGAAAAAAAGAGTTTGGAAAAGCAGGTTATATCACTGAAATCTGTGAAAACTAGATTCTCCCAGTTTAGACCATGTGGAAATGGGAAAGGTTTCAGCCAGAAACAAAGAAAGTATTCATGGCCATTGGCTAGACAATCACTACCTAAGTCAGTGTTGAATTAATTTAAAAAATTCGTTCTACTAAAAGTTTTTGATCCTCAAACTCAGAAGCAAGTATTTTTATACTTTTATACATGACCTACCAAGCTCCCTATTGCAAAATAGCTGAAAGCCTAAATCAAGACATGTGTATTAAAGAGAATTAAGAGCTTTACTTGAAAGCTCTTGGTGTAGAATTTAAGATCTTCTATTTAAATAAATATCACTGTCATACCATCACATTTCCACATGAAATTCTAGCCACTCAAGTTGTTACCATCTAAGGGTCTTGATACTGTTCATTTTCTCTGCCATTTCAAAAATTAAAAGGCAGCAAAAATATCATAGAGAGCTGACAGAGTCAAGTAATAAAGAAAGAATTTTATTAGAGGCAAGAATACACACACACACTGGTGCATACACACACACATACATACATACATACATGCACACACATGCACATACACAATACATATATACATATATACACACAGATACACTCATACATACACACAAACAGATACATGCATACAAACATACACACACAAACACACCCTCACATGCATACACATAGAGAGAGAAAGAGAGAGAGAGGCACACAGATAGAAAACCTTCAAAGCATAGGGGGACTCCAGAGCCCCAAATTCATTCTCTCTTCTAGGGCCATGGGTTTTAAGCATCTTCCTCTTCTACTTTAGGGCTGACCAGTGTGAACAGAGACAGGATGGCTGATAGGAACCGAACTTGGTGAACCTGACTTAGTCCCTCCTTTGTGGTCCAACAGAAAGGGAGCCATATTGGTGAAAACAGAGCCCTCCAGGCCTTTGTTTTAAACTACCGGCCTTTTGTCTCAGGTCAGGAGGGTAAGGGAAAAGCTTCTATCTTTAAACTTTAGTCAGGGCCCCTCCCTGCCTTTCTGCCTAACTTCCTACCTGATCTAACTCCTAGTTCTTCAGGATGTTGGATGCACATCAGTCATTGGTCCTTGCTCTGCTGCTCTTTTATGCCCTTCTGTTCAGGGAAAACTCATTCATTTTAGTGGTTTGTTCTTGGATCAATTATAGCTACAAACATACCTCACAGAATTGAAAGAAACAAAGCTTCTACACTTTAACACACAGTAGGCAATTAACCTGGACAAATGGATGGATGGATGGATGGATGGATGGATGGATGGATGGGTGGGTGGGTGGTGGGTGGATGGGTGGATGGATGGATGGATGGATGGATGGGAGGATGGGTAGGTGAGTCGATGGATGGCTGGGGAGATGAATGGATGCATGCATGCACGCATGCATGGGAGGATGGATACATGGATGGATGGATGGATGGATGGATGGATGGATGGATGGATGGTGAGGTTATATATTTCTTCCTAGGAGATCCAACAATGTGAGACAACTACCTGGGCAACAACTTCACTTCATAGCCTGAACACACATGTCCATAGGCTTTATCAATTAAATCATAGAGATCATTTCATGCTTTCCAATTAAAGTGCTCTCTAAAAATAGAACACCTCAGAACAGAAGAACACAAATATACTTTACTATTCATTTAATGGGAATAAGGATATGGTAGGAAACAGTCTAGAAAGGGGTGGGTGTCTGAGTACTCTTTTCCACAATATAGGTAATTCGAGCCAGGGTATAACAAAAATTGCATCATGTCATGAACCTAAGAAAACTGGCCAAGAGTCTTAAAACATAAAGCCATAAAACCAAGGGCTGAAAGATTTCCATAGTATTGTGCATCTGCTCATGTCAGGAGGGATCTAGAATACAGTGTGTTTATCATGGCTAATTAAGCACTGGCATTTCTTTAGTAGTTACAATATTTTTATAAAAGTTTGATGATTTCAGGAGGGGGAAATAGGCTCTCACTGTATAGCCCAGGCTTCCCTTTGACTTTCTACGAGGTAGAATTATGGTGAGCACCCACCTGACTTTTAATCTCTTCAAAGTTTAGAATTCTTCAACTCACAACAGATTTTAAGGGCCAATGTAATTCATTCTTTAATAGTTATCTGCCACCTGCCTCTATTCAATCATTTTGTTGTTGTTGTTGTCTGTTTGCTTGCTTGCTTATTCTTATCTCTAGACCTCAAAATACTGAATCGGTGCGATGGGTTCTTCCATAAAGGTATCATGAGATTCTTGTGTTTGGTAATCAGTAGATTCTATAAATTTTGGCAGAATACTATAGAAAACAACTATTTAAATAGCACTAATTGATGGAAGGAGCCCACCTTTTGGTGCCCTGCTCAGAGCCTCCTAAGGAATGGGGACTGAAGTAGGGAAGCCTGTCCGAGGGAAACCCATCCATAATCTGCAAGTATCCTAGTCTCACTTCCAACCATGGGAGGAGGTAAGCTTGGATCTGTTTCTGGCCTGGCTTCCTAGACTCTGCTCAGAGCCTCCTGAGGCCTGGTGCCTGCACACTGGGCGGGGGAAAGGGGAGCCCATCCTGACAGATAGGCCTGTCCAGAGTCTGCTAGCATCCCATCCTTATCCCACCTCTACCAACGGGAAGAGCCTGACTTCCAGTTCCCTGCTTGGAGCCTCCTGAGGACTGAAGACTGGGCACAGAGTAGCCCATACTAGCAGAACAGCCCATCCAGAGCCTCCCAGAGCCTTAGTCCCACTACCACACACTGGAAGAGGAGAGCCATTGGAGTATTGCACCTGTTTGCACCCACTGGAAGAGAACCTTGGTCCCATACCCACCAGGAGAGGAAGACACCCCACTGGTACACTGGAAGAAGGGATGGATAGATAACAGTATAGGAACACAGTCAGCAACAGAAAGATCAATATGATGCCACCAGAGTTTAGGGACTCCATACCAGCAAGACCTGAACATCCCAACAGAGATGAAGCAGAAGAGAATGACACTAAACACAACTTCATGAAGATGATGGAGACCATAAGGGGAAATGAGAAAATACTTTAAAGAAATGGAAGAAAAGACAAACCAAACATTGCAAAAAAAAAAAAAAAAAAAAAAAAAAAAACTCAAACAGTGCAAGGTTTTTGAAAGCTGAAATAGAGACAATTAAAAAACCACGGTCTGGGGAAATGCTGGAAATAGGAAAGCTGGGTAAATGAACAGGAACTGCAGATGCAAACATAACAAACAGAATACAAGAGATGTAAGAAAGAGTCTCAGGCATTGAAGATACACTGGAGGAAATAGATTCACTGACCAAAGAAAATCTTAAGTCCAACAAATCCCTAACACAAATTATCTAGGAAATATGAGACACTTAAAAGGCCAATCCTAAGAATAATATGTATAGAAGAAGGTGAAGAAACCCAACTCAAAGGTGCAGAAAAATATATTCAACAAAATCATAGAAGAACACTTTCCCAACCTAAAGAAAGACATGCCAATGAAAGTATGAGAAAGTTCCCTCACCACATAATAATCAAAATGCCAAACATACAGAATAAAGAAATAATAAGAGCAGCAAAGGAAAAAAAAAATGCCAAGTAACATATACAGGCAAACCTATCAGAATTATATCTGACTTATCCATGGAAACTCTCAAGACAAGAAGGTCCTGGATGCAGAATATACAAACACTAAGAGACCACAGATGGCAGCCCAGACTATATATCCAGCAAAGCTTTCGATCACTATATATGGAGAAACCAAGACTTTACATGACAAAACCAGATTTAAATAATATATATCAACTAATCCACCACTACAGAAAGAACTAGAAGGAAAATGCCAACCCAAGGAAGTTAACTAACCCTACCCCACTCCACCCCCCCAAAAAAAAACATAGTCAATAGATAATCTTACTTTACCAACAGCCAAAAAAGTTGGGGGGATATCCTACACAATACCAACAACAACAACAAATCAAAAACAAACAAGAATTAACAATCAATGGTCATTAATATTCCCCATTATAAAAAGACACAGGATAACAGAATAGATATAAACATAGAATCCAAACTTCTGCTGCATAAAAGAAATGTACCTCAACTTCAAAGACAGATGTTACCTCAGAGTTGGGGGATGGGAAAAGATTTTTCAATCAAAAGGACCCAAGAAACAAGCGGTTGTAGCAATCCTAATATCTAACAAATTAGGCTTCAAACTAAAATCAATCAAAAGAGATGAAGAAGGTCATTTCTTATTCATTACAGGAGAAACCCATCAAGTTTAAGTCTCATTTCTGAATATCTATGACCCAAATACAAAAGCACCCACATTTCTAAAAGAAACATTACTAAAACTCAAATCAGACATAAAACTTCACACACTTACAGTGGGAGATTTCAACACCCCACTCTCAATACTAGACAGGACCACCAGACAGAAAATTAGCAAAGAAACAAAGGAACTAACAGAAGTTATGACCCAATTGGGTTTAACAGACATTTATAGAACATTTCATCCAAACACAAAAGAATAAACCTTCTTCTCAGCACCACATGGAATCTTCTCTAAAATCAACCACATACTCAGCAATATAGAAAACCACAATAGGTACCAAAAAAAATTGGAATAACCCCCTGAATCTTATCAGACCACCATGCTTTAAAGTTAGAATTCAACAACAATACAAATTGCAGAAACCCTACCAACTCATGGAAATTGAACAGTGTGCAATTTCACCATTCCTGGGTCAAGGAAGAAATAAAGAAAGAAATTAAAGGCTACCTAGAAATTAATGAAAATGAAGACACAACATACCCAAACTTACAGGACACATTGAAAGCAGTGCTAGAAGGAAAGTTCATAGCACTAACTGCCCACATGAAGAAACTGGAAAATAGTCACACTAGAGAATTAACAGCATGACTGGAAGCTCTAGGACAAAAAGAAGCAAACTCACCCCGA